GGACGCACGCATAGACGCACACACGCACGCACGGAGGTCAAAACATAAGTCCTCGTTTTCGGACTGCATCCGAACGGGGACTAATTACAAAAAATATTATATATATCGTCACAAAATAATCAAACCTCATAGAGGTCTACACAAAGAACATATGCACCAAGTATAAAAGTAATACAGAGTTACTAGTTTTCAAGCAGACGTTGTTCAAAAGAAAAGTTGATGCTGGATGAGAGATGACCATGCTTCAAACAAGCATAAAATAATTTATACTACATCATAAAAATACAAGTCATTGAAAATGACACAGTCCCTGTTAAATTTTTGAAAGTTCCCTTTGTGTTCGTCATATTAAAGCGGAGGATTGTCGCGAGTGTGTCCTTGAAACTTGAGTTCCAAGTGGCGTATACAACAGATTGTTTATTTACATCAAAACATGTGTTCCATGTAGTAGTAATATGGCCAAAAATAAAAACAGCCGTTATTCGGCCATCTTTGACTGATTATGAAACACACTGATATGTATGATGTATTGTGCCAAATACAAATGAAAATGGTACATAAATTGTGAAAATATAGTAGTAAGGCCAAAAAGTCAGATGGCCTTGATCGGATTTTGAAATAAATTGTCATGGACATGCATCCTAACATGTATAAAGTACATGTATGTGCAAATTTGAATGAAAACTGACAGAGCACATCCAAGATGCCTGCCAGTCGACCATCTTTGATCCAATTGTGAAATAAATCGTCATGGACATGTATCCTAACATGTATAATCTACAAAAAAATGTATGTACCAAGTTTGAATGACAACTGACAAAGCATGTCCAAAATACAACATTTTCAAAAAACAAGATGGCTGCCAGTCGGCCATTTTGAATCATCACTAAACCACTGCATGTGCATATGTCCCACATAAGGTACTAGGCACATGCAAAGAATGAACGGAATCGGTCCACAGGATTCTGAAATATGACTCTGTACAGACTGACACACGGACGGACAGACGGACAGACTCAGGAACTCACGGACGGCCGGGGACATGTATCCTAACAT